TGGGTAACTTTTGACAATCTCAACATATGAAAGGTCTTTTGAGAGAGTCCATTGGAGTGCATATTTTCATCCATTTGCTATATTTTGAATTTACGAGGCCATTTGAGAGCTGCTATATTTGAAAATACATTTGAGAACCTCAAAATATGATAGGTCTTTTGAGAAACAATTAGAGTGCCTTATATTCATCCACCTACTATATTTTTAGTTTGAAAACTCATTTGAAAGGTCATTGGAGATGCTTGAGCCTTTCAGTCCTCTCTTCCATTTTTAGAGGCTTACACTTGACTTTTCCTCTACCCACCCATCTGCATCTTTGATCCAGATTCCAATGTTAGATCACAAGGATCATAATTACTAGGGATAATTGCACTGACACCCTCAGTAGTTTGGCCAAATATCAATCTAAAATATCTTTCGAAAATAACTATCACTTAGATCCATTTTCACTTTTCCGTTACTGTCTCCGTTAAAAACATGGGAAAAGACATATTTGCCCCTAATTTTTTAATCACATTTAATACAAAATATCAAATAAGGTAAATGACTTTTATACCCCTTATATCTCTATCTGTATCGGACGTTCTCTCTCCTCAAGGACGCTTGTCTGTCTCTCTCTCTTCTCTACAGATCAAAACCACTCTCTCTCTTCTTTATAGATGCGACCTATAGATTAACAAAACCATGAAACCCTAAAGCACAAAGATTAATCGTAGCAGCTTTGGATCACCATGGTTGCACAAGTTCGAGTACTGCTCAAGGCACATCAATGATTTACTGGATACAGGACAACCCACAAGATGGCGATAGAGGTCAGCTAGATTTTCCACAAAATCAATGGATTTGAGGTGAGGATCTATGGGTGGCTCAAGAAGGTCAGTTGTGGGGAGTCAATAAGGAAGAAGAGGTTCGGCCATTGACACTGAATTGGTGTAAGTAGAATTCGATAAAATGAAATTGATAGTCAGGTTGCCTTGCCGGTGGTGGTGGTGGTTGAACTTGCCGGCGCAGTCACTGACGGTGGTACTACCAGCAGCGGAGGTATCTGGGGGGCTTAAAGCGTGGACTTGGGTGGTCGGTTTCTGAGATTGAGACCACGCATGGTATCAATTAAAGGTAGTGTGTATTGACGGATGAGATTTTCAAACCTTGATTTGGAAATGGGTTTTTTCGATTGATCTCCATTATCAGTTGAAAAAGACATGAATCGAACAGGATTGTAAATCAAACAGTTGATTGATTAGCTCCGACTGGCTAACACCATCATTAGAGAGAGAGAGAGAGTTTTTAGCTAAAGTCTAAAGACTCTGCTTTGGTTTTCTTTCTTTTGTAAGCATTGATACAGAACATATCGCCGGTGTTTATAGAGCTTAGCAGCATGGTGGTATGAGGGAGGAGAGGACACGATGGTGGTATGGTGCTTCACCTCCGGCGAGAGCTGGTTACGTATGGTTTTATTGTATATGAATTTTTGTATTATTATTATATTTTTTTTTTTTTTTTGGGTAATTAATCAATTTTGGGGAAACCAACCCCATTAATAATTTCTTTCAATTTATTAATTAGGGTATTTACAGATTGATTTGGGAATTTAGTATTGGAGTTTATGGTTTATGGCACCAATAAGTTATGTATAGAAAGTGTATATGTTGTGTATGATAGAGAGAGAAAGAGAGAGAGAGAGACGAAGATGAATTAGACAGATGAAGAATATATATATATATATAAAATGATAGAAATAAACTTTAATTCACGTGCTAAACAATAAAAAGAAGTAGTTTTTGTTGTCCAAAAAATATGAGGACAAGCTTATATATATATATATATATATATATATATATATATATATGAAATGATGGAATATATGAATGGGTAATTGATCGTAGAACCGGACACTTATAAAAAATTTCTTATTTTTCTCTTTTTCTTTTTAAATTTCATTAATTTCTTAAAAAAATAAAATTTTCTTATTAAAAAAATATATTAATGGGTGATTTTTCTTATTTTAGTTTTTAAATTTTTTTTTATTTTTCTCTCTCTCTCTCTCTTTAAATTTCATTAATTTCCTTACAAAAATAAAATTTTCTTACTTAAAATTTCATTAATTTCCTTAAAAAAATATATGAATGAGTGATTTTTCTTATTTTAGTTTTAAATTTTTTTTTTTATTTTTTTCTTTCTCTTTTTAAATTTCATTAATTTCCTTAAAAAATAAATTTTTTTTACTTAAAATTTCATTAATTTCCTTAAAAAAATGTAGAACCTTACACCTGTATGGCGTATAATAGCCCTCAATAGCAAATTGTATGATGTTGATCACCTACTTTATTGATTTTTGTATATGGAAAAGGAAGGGTAAACATGTCATTTGAATAGTCAATTTAAAGTCAAATGAGGGTAAACATGTAATTTTAATCATTAAAGAAACAATTTATTAAGTCAAACCAAAGTCAAATGATAAGAATGTCTTTTTACAAGTAAAAAGTGGTCTGATACACCTGTCAACTAACTTTTGGGGTGTGAGTGAAAAACGAAACAAACGTTTGTAATGTGAGTGATAATTATTTTCGAAAGATATTTTAGACTGATATTTGGCCAAACTACTGGGGGTGTCAGTGAAATTATCCATAATTACTAAACTATGTAATCCAAATGAGTATAGAAGGGAAATCTAAAAGTCACTTTATAATTGATGAACCGAAGGGATACATGTAAGGTAATCCTTTTTGTGTCAAGATACTATTACTAAACGTATTTAGATGAATAGATTCACACGCTTTGAATCAAATGGATGGTCGGATTGAACTAAGTAATAAATTGATTTCTTGACTTGATAATGTGAGGATTCTGTATATTATGTATCAAGGAGATGAAAAAACATTACGGGGTGCTATAAGTCTCGGTGTGACCTTGAATTTGATATGGCGATAGTTAAAAAGACATTTAATGTCCTCTATTTTAATACATATTACACTTAATTCTTTTATACATTTATGTTTCATAGTTTAGCAAACTACAGGAATTGAGAAAAGGAAAAAAGAAACAATTACACTAGATTTCTCTCTCTATCTCTAAATTGTTTTTTACTACTAATATTTTTCATTATATATTTGTGTGTGTGTATATGCATTATCTTCTGCACGTTGTGGCGCACCAAATCCCATAATTCGGTTCATCAATCAAGAGAATGTAACCCGACTCTGTAACCCAGTCACCAAAATGCGGAACCCAAGGAAAATTGATAAAAATACCAAAGTCAAGGGTAAAATGGTCAAATCCACAAATGAAGTAACATGTGAGGTCTCAAAACGTGAATACATTACTACCATGCATTCCAAATTACCATAAGGCAAAAGAGAGTGGCAAAAAATGAACAGAGAGGTAAACAGTAGCCAAGGGAGGGGTGCCAATAATCGGTCGACGTGTGAGGTCCACATGTCGACCGAATTGGCCGACTCAATCGACGTGAAGCCACTTTACATCGACCGAAACCTACATTTACTAACAAAAAGTCCAAAAACAAATGAGATACTGGTTGAAGTGGGGAAGTTACAAGTCGTGTGATACCCCCTAATTTTAGAGACATGGGTTGATCAAGTCCACACTAAAAAAAAAAAAAAAAAATAGGGAATATCAAAACAATTAATATTTATCAAGCACGGATTACAAAAGAAAATAAATAAACTACTGAAAGAAATCTAATAATTAATAATCCCTTTAAAAGCTTCCAACTTAAAATCCATATTAAATATTCTCTAAAGATACAACTCGGGAATCCCGTACCTCAAAGACCCCTCAAACAAAATCCATTATCCGATAATCCATAAATAAAGAATACGAATAACATATAATAGAATAATGTAGTACTTTGAAATAACTGGAAAGAGTAGATGATAGGTAAGTCTCCAAGGTACAGATCCTCAACCTTGAGACTTGAATTTCTAAAACCTGAAAGATATAAAAATAAAATGGGTCAAACCCAAAAGCAAGTTCCCTCTACCAAGTCTCTAGAAACCGATAAATAATTTATCTCTAATCACAACCATCTTAATACAGTTTTTAACCTTTAATAAAAGATGACAAATACTAATTGATAACATCAAAAAGATTAATTAATAAATCCTAGAATTCCATCCATAAATATATAACTAATATATATAGGTATTTGTCAAATACATAATTATTAGTGTAAAGTTGTCATATTTGTTATACTTTTGTGTTATAGTGGCACTTTTCATCCATTTTTTTTAGATATGGTCGTATTTGTAATACCACATAAATAACTTGTTATTTATTAAATTATCCCCATAAAAATACATCATAATCTCTTTATATTAATCAAAATCTCAAAACTCTTTAAGAAATTTTCATTGTCTCTCCAATTTGTTGTCAAATCATGAGAAAATCTATAATACCCCTATGAGTATAGTATCCAAGTATAATGGGTAGACGCTTACCTATTTACCAAAAAACTTAAGTAATTGAGTAGTTCTGCATATCAACCTATAAATACCCAATTCACTTTCCATTCGGATCCGATGTGGGACAAGTCTCCCTTGTAACATTCTTCCCCACTTGAACTCGCAATGCCCTAATTACAGTCGGGTTATTCTGCCTATCCTGGTAGCACACCCGAACGCCTTCCGAGTCAAGCACTTGGCGTGACACTGGATTAAAAACTGGGTCTACCTCTGATACCAACTGTAACGGGTAGACGCTTATTTATTTACTCAAAAATTTAAGTTATTAGATAGTAATACATACTCACTCATTTATAGTAATGTATATTCACTCATTTATACTTATTTTACTTTTCATCCGAATATGACTTGGGACAAGTATGCTATAACACTAAGTCAATAAACAAATATTGAAACTCTCAATTTACCTGCCTACACACGCGCGCGCGACAAATTGTGAATTTATTGTTTGTGTATTAGTTGAGGATGCAAGTATCCAGGATTGGATGTGGTGAAATAGCCCCCTGATAGGGCATGCGACGCGTATGGTTAAAATTCCATCAAATGTCAGGCGCTTTAACATCTTAAAAAAAAACCCAAAAAAAAGAAAGAAAAGAAGAGTACCGGGATGTCCTATGCTCTCTCAAATCAGAACAGCAATAGTTTGTGTCATTGGCAAAAGAGCTATCCTCAAATTTCCTAACATTACCCGACCCGAATCGCGCTCCCATCCATTACATTTGCACAAGTCACAACGGCCATCTTCTTCTTCCTCATGATGGTCAATCCGAAGCCCTAGCAACTGGGAATTGTTTCGCAGCCATACCGTAGGTATTCTCCCCTTATCACAGCACGAATTTAGGCCATTGCATGTCATAATACGAATCAACTCGATTTCATTATCAAATCCCTAAATTGTTTCTAACAGATGATGTAAGAATTCATTGATTTATAATGAATTAAAACAAACAACTCGATTTCGTTATCAAATCCCTAAATCGTTTCGCACTGATCAAGTAAAAACTTAGTGATTACTGTTATGCATGTCATTCTCATTACTGAAATTGCTTTCGCACAAATTTTTTATGTATCTGCGTTCTTGACTGATGTAACTGGTAATGACTTTTTGTTCACAGTTGTAAATTGAAATCGAAAATGTCTCACTTCAACTACACAATCTAATGATGGTGAAGATTTGAGGTATAAGAATATAATTTGTGGTTGTGGGAAAATAGCTTCTATCAAAGTAACAAAGTACAACCATAATAACAATAAGGGGAAGCTATACTATGTCTGTCCCACCAGAACATGTACTCTATGGGCGTGGTAACCCTTTGATCTCTTGTTACTACAGATCTAATATGTATATGATTTGAGATATCTGCGCAGATTTTCGTTATCATTTCTATGGGTTGCAGGCTTGGGTTATGGTGGGTGAGTTCCCATATTGGCCAGGCAGGGTCGTTTGACATCCACATATTTCCACAGAACATTTTAGTTCCAGTGATGCGGTATCTGGTATTGTAGGTGATTTGATTAACATGAATTTCAAATTCCAAATTACTACAGTCACTTGGATCCATTAAGCTCTTTCTAACAGTGATGATGTTTCATTTGTCACTTGTGGTGATTGAGCTCTAAATATTATATCATTAACTGGGAAAATTGTTTACTGGGTTAGTCACCTTGACAGCATTTTGTATCCAAGTGCAATCTTTTTTCATGCTCCGTGTTCTATATAGAATTACATTCCAACATTCCTCTATCATATTTTAGACAAGATGAGTGTAACACAAACAAATGTGATAAGCCAAAAGGTTTTTTTTTTTAGAATTTCAGTTAATATTATCTAATTCACAATCCAATAATGCTTTATGTTAATTGTACTTAGTCTATAATTTACACAATCTCTTTCTAAATATGTTTTATTCTCGAAAACAGGAAACATGCGACAAACATGGCAATGTCACAGATTACACTAGCAAGAACATGGAGTTGCAACAGCAAGGAGAGGTATTCCTCTGCGGATTGTAACACCAGAGCATTCAGTCAAGTCCAGATGTTCTACCTTGGCCTCACCAGGCAATGCCCAATTGAACTTGTGCATGAGATTTGCTAACACAAACTCATTGGTGGTCATTGCGAAGGAGGTCCCTGGGCAGCCCCTCCTGCTAGCTCCAAATGGAATCAATTCAAAGTCATGCCCTCTGAAATCTATAGAAGAATTCAAGAACCTCTCAGAATGAAACTCTTCAGGTTCAACCCATGACATGGGGTCCTTTCCGATTGCCCAAGCATTGATAATAACCATTGTTCCGGCTGGAATGTCATAGCCCATTAGTCTGACATCTTCGCTCGCTTCACGTCTGTGTAATGCGATAGGAGGATGCAAACGAGCAGTTTCTTTGACCACTGCTTTAAGGCAGTGCATTTCCTCCTGATCATCTGCTGTTATGTGTGGTTTGCCTTTAAGAATTTCTCTGACTTCATTTTGCACATTATTCATGACTCTCAGGTGTCTTAATAGCTCTGTCATTGCCCATTCTAGGACTGTGGAAGTGGTATCAGTTCCAGCAACTAAGATGTCCTACAAGAATCAGAAGATAAAACAAATTAAGATGGTTAGTAAAGTTTGTTCATTATATGTTTGTATCCTTGATGTGAATATCCTTGCAACTAGCCATTGTGCACACACACACACAGGACAGACTTAAGAGTGAGAGAGACAATTCATGACATAAAATTAGTTGTCTCAATAATTTAATGATTTGCAGCTACATATCAATTAGATTTGTTAAGGGTTGTGCTGGATTGGTCTTTTTCTTAATACAGCCTAAAGAAATATTCAGAATGGATTGCTAATTTGTGCAAAGTCCACTATATACTATAGATAGATAAAGCTCCATTATGTTTCAACTGGAAAGTTGAGAATTTTATTATTATTATTATTATTATTATTATTTTATTTATTTATTTATTTTTGTCCTGTAATATAAAGTTGAGACTTGTTCAATGCTCTTTGCATTAAAAATTGATCTCACTGGATTGGATTAGATTTGTGAGTCTAGTTGAATATATCTGGTAACATCAAGTACTTTAACTGATTTGCTCTATGTTTAGAAAGCTGGTCTTCAGTTGAAGCTGGTTCTTCTGAGATATATTTGCTGATTGTATTCCTTTGCTGTTCATTTCTACTTTTTATTCCTTTGCTGTTTTCTGATGCGGATGTTTCATTTGTATTGTTTAATTAACATTTCTTGTTTTGCTGATGAGTGGGTTCTTTATTAAACTTCTAATTTGACACAGAGAGAGAGAGAGAGAGAGAGGGATCCTCACCAAGATGAGAGCTTTGATGCAATCTCTATCAACATCAATATTGTATTTATGGATCCTAAGCAAAATATCAAGGAAATCCTCCCTGCCTTCGTCTTCAACTCTCTCATCGCCATTACTCTTCCTTGTCAGTACATTCATACGCTCTTCAACTACTTGCTCCAGGAATTCATCAATCTCTTTTGCAACGTATGGATGATAATCATGATACTAGAAAATAAAGGTATACTCCTTATGAGGTTGCTGTGTATACCCTATCTACTGATTCCTGGAGATATCTTGATGAAGTTGCTTTGCCTTATGCTAACATTCACATCCCTCTGTCTAACGCATGCATTAATGGAGTTTATCACTGGTTTGCAGTAGACAGTGACTATCATGATCTGATCCTTTCATTTGACATGGGCAATGAATTGTTTCACGAGATCCGTGGTATTCCATATTCAAAACGTGGCATTCTTGCACCCTACTATGACTCTCTTGCTCTGATTTGTCATTGTTCTAGTGATTCAGGTGTTGACATTTTACAGACCAGTGACATGATTGATCCATCCAAGCCATGGAATGAAGTCCCCAACATCAAAGCTGCTCAACAACCCCGAGAAAGCCTTCAATTGCAGCATAAACTTCTTCCTATCTCCCCATCCACTGTACTTTCTCCCAAAAGCAGCCCTGCCTACCACATCATTCGTTAGCAGCGTGAACATTTCACTTAAATTCAATGGCGAGGATGGAGAAGATGATTCTTCCATCTTCTTCATCAGGAGGGCTGTTTCTTCTTCTCTGACAATATGAAAAGACTGACTCTTCTATTACTTAGAAGCTGGAGTACAAAAATGCTTTTCATCTGCCTCCAGAATTCACCATAAGGGGCCGTAATCACATCCTTGTAATTGTAGAGAAGCCGTTCAACAATGTTTGATTTTGGCTTGTTTGAAAAGACAAGATCATGTGTTTTCATGATCTCTCGAGCAGTGTCAGTGGATGAGGCAACAAGTGTCGGCCTGCTGCCGAGGTGAATCAGCATGAGAGGCCTGTGTCGTTGAGATAAAGATCAGAGTGAGCGATGAGCGGGCAAGTACAGTTGGTGCAAGTTTCCTATAATTGGGTGCTTTGGTGGTGAAGGTGGTAGGTGTTTGTTGATAATAGAAGTATTGAGGAACCATGTCTTGATGAGGAATGCTACGATTAATAACGGAAGACAAGAGAAGAAAAATGGGTGCAAGAGAAATGAAGACACTAGCTGCTCCATCAGATTCAGATGCAGAAAGCTAGACAGATCCCTTATCATGCGTGTTAGAGCACTTGTTTTTAAACTAATGAAGATTTCTTTGTGTATGCATGTGATTAAAGTATTAAACAATATGTGAAGTCAGTAACTGCTCCTTCAAATGCAGAAAACTAGACACATCCCTTTTGTGTGCACGCCCACACTTGTTTTTAAACTAATGAGGATTTCATTGTTGTTGCGTTTTGGTGTACCGAATCGACGACTTGAATTTGGAATTGAAATTAATTTAGTTAAACTAGACATGACTTTGAATAGTTTTTTATTGTTCAATTTTAGAGGAGAATCTCTCATAATATTTTGAAAACTCTCTCTCTTTTTCAAATATCATATTCTGTTAAATAATTAAACCAAACATGGCTATACTTTATAGGAATGGTTTAAACACTTTGATCTCTTGTTACTGCAGATATAATTTGTATATGATTTGAGATATCTGTGTAGCTTTTCGTTATCATGAATCTTAAAGCCAATACATGGTCGTATTTGATCCCATTCTTGCCCTTGCTAGTACTCTTTCTATTACATTATTCTTAACACAGCATAGTGCGTGCACGGATCATTAAGGACAAAATGAAAGCAAAAAACGTCTAGCGGGTTAAGTAGGGTTGCGATCAATTTGAAGGTACTTTATTTTCTAGCGAAAGAAGTCAAATGGATTCATGAAGGTTACATGGAATAAAATGTTATTCTGTTCCTCCACAGAGAAACGGTTATTCCAATATCTATGGGTTGAAAGAACCGATGTAATTTCTATGGGTTGAAAGAACCGGATGGACATCGGTTTCGGTCAGGGTGGGCGAGTTCCCATATTGGTCAGGTGGGGTCGTTTGCTGTCCACATTTTCCCGCAGAACATTTCAGCCAGGGATTATAATTCCAGTGATGAGGTATCTTGTATCGTAGGTGATTTGATTAAGTGGAATTCCATTGTAATGACCCTAGCTGATGCCAAAATTTAAAAAAAATTCGGCATAATCTCCTCTAAAAATGGGCCTTCAACAACCTATCCCAATACACAAAACACATAAAATCATCCAGCATCCCATTCATCCGTTCATTATACCTCAACATAGTTCCTCTCATGGTGGAATATCAACACACCAATTAATCTAAATTATCATAATTACAGTCCCAAAATACAAGATTTAAAGTCCATGTCTTACAACGTTACATGATACAATTGCATGGAAACATATACCATAATTCCATTAGTTTCATTTACATCAAACAAAAGATAAGTTCGTTCTTAAGTTACAAAGCCATGAATACTAACTTAGTTACATTTCCACAACTACGACTATACATAGAACGGTCAAAATACAAAATAGCAAACAACCTTCTAACAACTTTCAAGCTTGAGGTGGATTGTCGTCCACCAGTTCATTTCCAAGACCTGAAAAAAATAATATAAATAGTAGGGTGAGCATAAAGCTCAGCAAGTGACACTTAAGACACACATCTTGTGTCCTTGTGAATCCAAACAAAGCATAGGCCAATGGGAAATGGGGATCATACAATGTTGGAAAATAATACAGCATAACGATTCAATCTCAAGTATATCCAATGCAATGGTATGAGATACAATACATGCTAGTGTCGCTCCCCATTCGGCTAGTGTCCCTGACCCTTGGTAACCCCGCGACGTCATTATGGGGCCCAGCTAGCTCAACCACGCTAGGGCGACTCCCTAGTCCCCTCTAGGCTATATTAACCTCCGGCTCGTTGGTAACCCCGCAGCGACCGGGTTTATCAAAATTATTTGACAAAACTCTTCTCCTAAAATTTCCCCCATTTTCATTTCAAGACAAATTCTCCCATTTCATGCATCCCAATGACATGTGCATTGATGTATATATGTTCCATACATTCAATGTCATGGCATTTAAAATTCTACACCATAAAATTAAACATTCAACATGTTCAACATCTCCCAAGTAATTATTAACACATTAAGATACAACAAAATACATTTAAACATGTTTTACGCATAAAACAACTCACATTCATACACATGAATTTCTCTAGACAATATTTAAAATAATCATTGATACAATTAATTTCTAATTAAGCATGCTTGACACAACAAATGATTATAACTCACAATGGAACAAGAAGGTAGTGGATTAAGGTGTCCCTACCTCAAAATGAGCAAAATCCCTAAAAATGGGTTCTTAAATTCGAGCTCCCAAAGAGGACCAAAAGCTGGAATTTCTGGTACTAGCACATAAAGCTCGTCGTTTTGCCTCAAACGGCACCTAAATCCGCCAAGAATTGAGAGAGAAATCAAGGATTGAAGTTGAAAAAGAAAAAGATAGAAGGAGAGAGAGACTTAAGCTGTCCGAGAGAGAAAGCAAATTAGAAACTGAATGAGTATGTGGCCCTCATATCACAGGTGGGCCCCACAGTTAAAAAAAAAAGTCATTGTACTAATTATATATATATATATAAATTCAAAAACTTTACATCCATATTCCAAATTACTGCTGTCACTTGGACTCAAAAAGATCTTTCTAACAGTGATGCTGTTTCATTTTGTCTCTCGTGTTATCATTAGCTGGAAAAATTATTTACTGGGTGAGTCACCTTGACAGCATCTTGTATCCAAGTGCAATCTTTTTTCATGCTCTGTCAGACAAGATGAGTGTAACACAAACAAATGTGATAACTGAGAAAAGTTTCTTCTAGGATTTCAGTTCATATTATCTAATTCACAATCCAATACTTTACGCTAGTAGGTTTTTTCTTTTTTTTTTTTGTTCAAACTTTTAGCTAATTGTACTTGGTCTATATTTACACACTCTTTTTAAATATGTTTTATTATCGAAAACAGGAAACATGCAACAAACATGACAATGTCACAGATTACACTAGCAAGAACATGGAGTTGCAACAGCAAGGAGAGGTATTCCTCTGCGGATTGTAACACCAGAGCATTCAGTCAAGTCCAGATGTTCTCCCTTGGCTCCACCAGGCAATGCCCAATTGAACTTGTGCATTAGATTTGCTAACACAAACTCATTGGTGGCAATTGCGAAGGAGGTCCCTGGGCAGCCCCTCCTGCCAGCTCCAAATGGAATCAATTCAAAGTCATGCCCTCTGAAATCTATAGAAGAATTCAAGAACCTCTCAGGTTGAAACTCTTCAGGTTCAACCCATGATGCGGGGTCTCTTCCGATTGCCCATGCATTGATAATAACCATTGTTCTGGCTGGAATGTCATAGCCCATTACTCTGACATATTCACTTGATTCACGTCCGAGTAATGGGAAAGGAGGATGCAAACGAACAGTTTCTTTGACCACTGCTTTAAGGTAGTGCATTTTCTCCAGATCATCTGCTGTTATGTGTGGCTTGCCTTTAAGAATTTCTCTCACTTCGTTTTGCACATTATTCATGACTCTCGGGTGTCTTAATAGCTCTGTCATTGCCCATTCTAGCACTGTGGAAGTGGTGTCAGTTCCACCAACAAAGATGTCCTGCAAGAATCAGAAGATAAAACAACTTCAGATGGTTAGTATAGTTTGTTCAATATATGTGAGTATCCTTGATGTAAATATCCTTGCAACTTGCCATCGTGCACAGACACACACACACAGAATTGCATAAAAAAAATTAGTTGTCGCAATTATAAAACCATTAGCAACTATATATCAATCAGATTTGTAAAGGGTTGTTTCAATTGGAAGGTTGAGACTTATTCAATACAGCCTAAATAAATTAAATTTTTAGGATGGATGACTTATTTAATTGTTTGTGCAAAGTCCAGTATACACTAGATAAACCTCCATTCTGTTTCAATTGGAAGGTTGAGACTTATTCAATCCTCTTTGCATTAAAAGTTTTATCTCACTGGATTGGATTAGATTTGCGAGGCTAGTTGAATATATCTGGTAAGGCTAGTAAGTAATTGGGAAATATCTAGTAAAAGTACTTTAACTGGATTGCTCCAAGTTTGGAAAGCTGGTCTTCAGTTGAAGCCTCTTTCCTTTCTGCTGTTGATGTTACTTGATCAAAATTAAATGGTATTCAACCTTACTCCAAAACCAACGGATCTGACCCACATCTTCTCTCTCCTTAACTCTGTCCAAGATCTAGTCCAAGACTTTGCTCTCTCACCTCTTTCTCATGCGCGAATTTGCTGTGTTTAACACCAATCAATTTGATATATATTGTCTATATGCATGTTTTCTTCTTTGTTTTCGATGTTGAATTCAAGTGCATTTAACTCAAATTAGTGAACTTTTTTGCTGTTATATCTGGGATTTCAACAATTTAGTTGAAGAAAAATTCTATTATATACAGATATTTGTTGTTCAAATTCTGAAGAGTTCTATTGTAAATTTATATGTTTTGGGGAAAGTTGAGATAAAATTTTGAAGGAGGCAATTCAGTTCTGTGAGATGCAGTTTAATCAGATAAATCAATAGATTTTGCAAAATGGAAGCCCTTGGTGAGACTTTGGTGTGCAAAGTCTAGTAATTTAGCAGAATATATACTACAGCTAGTTCTTCCGAGATATATTTGCTGATTTCATTTGTATTCATTTGCTGTTCATTTCTATTTTTGTATTGCTTCGCTGTTTTCTGATGCGGATGTTTCATTTGTATTGTTGAATTAACATTTCTTGTTTAGCTGATGAATGTGTGTTGTGTTATATCTTGCTGGTTTAAAAAACTGCTAATTTGACACACACCCACACAGAGATCGATCCTTACCAAGATGAGTGCTTTGATGCATTCTTTATCAACAGCAGTATTGTCTTTATGGATCCTAAGCAAAATATCAAGGAAATCCTCCGTGCCTTCATCTTCAACTCTCTCATTGCCATTACTCTTCCTTTTCAGGACATTCATATGCTCTTCAACTACTTGCTCTAGGAATACATCAACCTCTTTTGCAACTCTGTCCAATTTAGCATAAAAACCAGTGACATGATTGATCCATGCAAGCCATGGAATGAAGTCCCCAACGTCAAAGCTGCCCAATAACCCCGAGAAATCCTTCAACAGCAGCATAAACTTCTTCCCACTTTCCACTCCACTGTACTTCCTCCCGAAAGCAGCCCTAGATACCAGATCATTCATTAACAAGGTGAATATTTCGCTTAAATTCAATACTGAGGATGAACAAGATGATTCTTCAATCTTCTTCATCAGGAGGGCTGTTTCTTCTTCTCTGACGAAGTGAAAAG